TTCTACCCTGGTCTTCAACAGAGTATGTTATCTTATAATCCGTAGTACATGATTGCTCTTTTTTTTTTTTTTTGAGGTCTACATGTCCCTCTCTTTTCTATCTTTCTTATTGAAGTGTTGCGTGGGAAATAAATGTTTCATTCTAATCGTTGCTCTTTCTGACTGAGATGGTGTTGAAAAAGTAATGAGAATATCTATATGTGATCTACAAATCTATTATTATTTCTACTTTCTTGTTCTTTATACCTGAATCCCAATTTCAATTGGAGAGAATCCAGACCCAAGCAATGTCCAATTGCATTTGTGTTGATGCCATGCTCGTGTGTCTATGGAAAGCACTGATCTTCTTCCTTAATTCCTCATTTGTTTCGTTGGTGAGTTCAACTTCACCTTTCTTCCTCTCTGCATCAGTTACGTGTGAGAGAGTTTAGGTGCTTAAAGATTTTGATTTTTTTCCCCTTCCCTTTTCATCTGTCATGAATGAATGTGTTGAGAGGAAGTTTTGAGCAAACTAATGATTGAAGCTTAAGAGAACATATATACATACATGCATGGCTGCTGCTATTTTCTTCATAATGTATTGCAAACTCATACTCACATTTAATATAAGGAGATGCACTTGTACTCGTAACTTCCTCCCTAACTGGCAATTTTTTTTTCCCCGGAGCTGTTAATATAAATAAAGTGATTTAAAATAATAATAATAATAATAATAATAATAATTTTAGATAAGTAGATAGAATAAAGAAAAATGTTTCGTGCTTGGGTGATGTAATGAAAATGAGAAATTAACATGTTATTTGCTTGAAAAATATTAGATTGGGATATTTATTTTGATTGTGCTATTTCTTCATAGTTATCGATCTCCTTATGATGAGATAAGGAAGGTGAGGACAAAATTCTATTTTGCCATTACTTTGGGAAAAATGTTAAGAAAATTAATTGAGGAAACTTTGAAGAACTGTGTCAATGAATGAAGGTGCATGATTGGTAGTTTATGAATTAAGTTGTTGTTTTATGGGTTGTATTTTGCATGCCCATAAAATGTTCGATGAAAGTTTGGTTGAAAAGTTTGAGTGTAAATGCATTGGATTTACATTTTAACTAGAAAGTGAAGTTGTTTCTTTATAACCCCAAAAAATACTATACGGTCAAGAGTTAAATTGTGAAAAAGATTTGGTTGCATATGTTAGAAAAGAGCTGAAAACATAGTTTTATGTATGATTATTGTGTTAGTTATAAAAATATTTACATAAAGTATAATAGGAAGGATTGGAGGAACTAAGATATAAATTATATTGACTTAAGAACTTAGTTGATTATGGCCTTGTTAATATTGGAAGAGTTTAATACACTTGAATAAATGTCATTAAATTGTCTTTTCATATTGCATAGGGTGTTTAGAGGAAGGAAGAATTGATTGAAGTATTAAAGAGTGAATTTTGTTGCTGGAAATATTATAGGTAAGTGGATAATGTTTTAATTAATTTATCAATAAATTTTTTAAAGATATTTTTTACATAGATCATTTAATAAAAATTATATTACATAGTTAATACTTTGTTAATTAAATTATTTTTATTTTACCTTGAGAAATTATAAAGAGATGTTTAAGGATATTTAAATTACAGCATATGCATGTGTTTTTCCTCATGAAGAATATTTTCAAAATTGATGAGATTATTTTTATTAACTTTGGTTATTTTTGGGCTACTCAATAAATTCCAAACATGGACTTTAGTTATGAAATTTTATTTTGGCAAGTTTTTAATGCTTAAAGCTATTCATACTAGTTTGACTTTGAAAATAAAAATTGTATTTTTAAAATGATAATTTTTTTGCATATTTGAAAATAGATTTGAAGGGAATTTTATGCAGAACATTGATTGCTAACGACAGTTCCGTTACCCCTTAGCGTACGATGGTCCTTGACTAAATAATTTAATTTTTGTGAGTTCTATTATCAAATTTGTTATTCGAGAGTCTCATACTCACGTTTGTTTTCATGGTCATGAGCCGCGTTTGGTTAGTATTATCTTCACGAACTTTGTGTCCACGTTTGTTTCGTAGCTCAAACTACGCTTGGTTACTTACTCTCGTAGACTATATATCTACGTTTGTCTTTAGAACACAAGCCATATTTGATTATTTATCCTCGTGGATTGTCTGTCTATATTTGTGAATTGTTCTGATAAATTTTCATAAATGTGAATTTTTAATTAATTAATGATTTCATATTCTAATTTTTTTAATTGTAAATTTTATTTATTTATTTAATCTATTTTTCTTGTCAAGATTATATGTTAAAAATTACTTCATTATAAAAATCTAAAGATTCATGATATTGAAGTTATATAAAAATTTTTATTCCAAGTTTACAAATTTTATTTGTTTTCTCTTTAATTTCCATAATTGTTGCCAAATTATTCATTTTTATGCTTTTAAATGTTATGGTTGGGACGTTGTTCATTAAAAAATATTTGGTCTCAAATAATATAAATGGCTTTGACTTTTAGATCAATGAGGGGTATACTTCTAAATTAAAGTTGAAGTGTTATTTTGATCAAATTTCTAATTATTGCAAAACTTGAATTTATATGTTATGCTTTGTATTTTGTAAACTCTATTTAGATGCTCCATAGACTATAGTTATGATCCTCACTTAGTTTTTTATGTTGGTTTTTTGGGAGGAGCAAAGTTTCCAATTGTTATCTTGTGTTGAAAAATGTTATTGTAAAAATTGTAAGGAAGTCTTATTTTTAGAGGCAGCAAAATTTTCAAACAAGTTTACAATTTTTTGTAAATTATGTGTGTGTTGAAAGAATTCTGTTTTATATGATAAATGAGTTATGGCTAAAATCAAACATTTTCTATCTACTAAGGTTTGGCTTTAGGGATATAAATTTTGTACATATCCCATACTAATTACACCTTAAAGTTTGGGGTGTAACATTAAGTAACAATGTTAACCATCAGATGCCAAAATTGTTGTAACATTGCTTTTTGATTAACAAACAATGACATTAACCATTAACTCTTGATTCACTTTGAATTACAGATTATTTTTTCTTCTAAAATATTCGCAAAAAAAGTAACTGGCATTTTAAAATTCAATAATGTGGTTCAACTAACACTCCTCTAATTTTAGGTTGAACACACCATATCCCAAGTCATGCAGGTATTATTTATTAGTCAAAAACAGTTGGGGAGTCCTATATTAAGACAGACATATTAACATATAATAGTATCGTGGTTGATGGACAGAGTAGATCTATAATTTTTTTTTTGAGAAAATTACACCTTGGTTCTACATAAAAAATTTTATTATTAATAGTTCTCATAAAATTTACAAGATACTCTTAAATCTCAAATCATATGCATTTACAACTTAATTGAGGGCTTTAACAATTTAATAACAGCCATTTACAACTTGTAAAGGAAAGTTATTACTTGTAATAGCAAATTATAAATGGCCATTGCCCACTTATTAATGCTCTCAATCAAGTTGTAAATACAGATGATTTAAAATTTGAGCGTATTTTATTAATTTTATAAGACTTTTTGATAATAAATTTCTTTATATGAGATTTAGATGTAATTTTTTCTCCCTCAAAAAAAAAAAAATGCTTAGTTGGAAAGTGAAATGATATCCATTTTTTTTCTCTTACTACATGGGCATAGTTAACGAATCAAAATAGGCTTAATGAACTTATAGCAATATTGGTAGTTGATCGTTTGTTTGGGTCGGTTGATTTTTTTTGCTGACGATTATATAGTTGATAAGTTATGTGACACCCTTACACAACGCATCATGTTCTGATAGGAAAAAAGGATTATTGATTGTCCAAATTTTTAAACTTTATAATGTCAGTTGAAGAGAAAAAATGTTTTCTAACCCAAAATCAATACTCCTACATATTTAATTGTCAACATTATTGCCTATGATCTTGTCTGAGTGACATTACTTTAATAACTGATTTGAAATTAAATAGCTAACATCTCTTGTGAAATATGGTTCAGGAATAAAAATTGCACTTAATTCTTGTGGAGAATACATGTGACTTGAGAGTTGAGAGCCTTAACAACATAGATTTGCCTATTTTGAGTTTGTAAGAATTTTTTTAAAACACTTATATCAAAAGAGTTTGAATTTAAATAACTATTTACTTCTTTAATCTTATTTATAGAGTAGATAGAGAATATTTATTTTTATTATATTTATAGGGTACTTCAATGATTTTTAAATTTATTTTGACTTTTTTGTCCATAATTTTTTTGGGCCAACCTTTTTACCCATATTAAATAGTGAGAAAGTTATTAAATATTTTAGTGTTTTATTTTTAAAAAGTGTGTGTGTGTAGATTATATATATCTTTAATAGGGGAAATATTATAAATTTATTGAATTTTTAGATAAAACATTCTAAAAATGATCTATAAATGAAATTAGACAAATATAATTTATCATATCTTATAAGTAATATTATTAACTATCAATGCACCCCTCCTGCAATGAGAAGGTTTTGTGTATGGCCCCAAATGTTCAGGATTATTCAAGAAAATTAGTTATAAATGAAGATCAATCTATAATGAGTTATTGTTAAAATTAAAATAATATTTTTTAAATGAAACTTGTTGCTAGTTTTTATTTGTAAATAATTTATTTAAATGGTCCTTCAATGTAATTCTCTTTTATGGTTGATTGTCCTCTACCCAAAAAAATTGATTTTATTACAATATTGATCAAAATAAATCAGATAATAGAAATAAAAAAATAATTGAATTTATAAAATTTCTTTAATTTTACTATAGATACTATTTTTTCACGAAAATATTATAAATCAAAACGAAATGTAAAAAAAAAAAAAAAACCCGCAATAGGTTAAAAATGAAAATAAGGTCTTATTCAGTAAATTCAAATAGATTTTGGTTTGTTCTAAAATTGTGAAATTTGAACTGAACCCTCTGGTTCCGAAACAACATTTGCGTGTTATGTTTCCTATGTCCAACCCAGAAGCCCTCAATTTCACCATCATTTTGATTTTCCAATTCAACTAGCTCCTCATTCTTCCAGAAATTTTCTGTTTTGTGACTGTCCCTAATCTGGATTCGAAAAAAAAGTTTATTACCTTACGAAGATTCAAACCGGCCCCATTTGAATATCGGAGAGAAACAACAATATTAAAAAGAATATGTCTGTTTTCTCCTTTCCCTCCCTTCTTTCTCCCTCTTAGCCTAACAGTCGAGGGAGAGAAGCGTGTGTGTGTGGCAAATGGGGGCGTACAGGGCTGATGACGATTACGATTATTTGTTCAAAGTTGTGCTGATCGGCGACTCGGGGGTGGGCAAATCGAACCTCTTGTCGAGGTTTACTAAGAATGAATTCAGCCTCGAATCCAAGTCCACCATTGGGGTTGAGTTTGCTACCCGAAGCATTCAGGTCGATGATAAGGTTGTCAAGGCTCAGATTTGGGACACAGCAGGTCAAGAAAGGTTCAAATTCCAATATTCATTTTTCATTTGAACTGGGCTAGTGCATCTGGGGCTAGCTTTGATGCAACATGTTAACAATATCTAGGAACTATTAGTACTTAACTTTTTTTTTTTTGGGTTTCTGATAAGAATGTCTGTTTATGATCCGATTCTTTGCCTTCACGGAATAAGGAATTAAGGTGATTCCCTTTTCATGCAAGCTTTGTGCAGATAATTATTAGATGTGCAACTATCTCATCTATCTTAATTCAAATATAAACATGGTGAACTTGTTATTGAAAGATTGTATACGAACAGCTAGCTTTTATGGATTGGTTCTTGTTGAAATCATTTGAGATTTATACGTTGTAGAATGTGTGTTTTATGATGGGATGTGTAAAATGATGATATTGTTATCATGGTTGTAGTATCTCAATTAAAAAAAAAAAAACAGAGATGCTTGAGTTGCTCTTAAATTTGTGAAGAACATATACCAACCAATCAAAGAACATGAAATCGCCTTTGTGGAAAATTTCCAACAAATCGTTTTGCGTTAGAGAGCGTGGTAGGGGGCTCTTATCATTCCAATTGGTTTTCTGACAACAAACAAGACAGCATTTTATGTGATATCTTTGACACTGAAACATATTTTCTTGACCCAGTTTAACTGCTGTGTTTGCTTATGCTTCTGTCGGTGTCAAACTGTCAATGTGATCTTATTCATTTTAACTTTCTATCACTGCATGCCATATGCTGTTTCGTTTTTAAAAGCAAAACCTTCTGGTATGAAAAGTGTAGGTGACTCGCCAAGCACATCCAAGCTTGGCAAGAAATGTTATGATGAGAATTAACAGAGCACTCAAGAAATGATTGACTTACTGGTTGAATTCTTGTGAAAGCTTGAAAACTATTTTGAAAACGATGAAAGAGAAAGCTTCATGCTTTGGTGAATTCCATTGATCATGGGATTTTTTTGTACATATAATTATACAGATTAATATGATTGTTAATTTTTGAGCTTTACAGAAACTTTGCAAGTGACACCACTTTGTTTGCAGGTTCCACATGAACAATGATTAAGTTGGCTGTATTTTGTTGATTTTTAATAAATATGTGTACATAATGCATATCTGAGTTCAAATATGCTTTAATAAAAGGTAATGAGCAATAACAGATTAGCATGTATAGAGTATACATGCTAATCTATGAGCCCTTGTGTTATTCAGTTATTATGATTTATTTATATTGGACTTGTCTCATAAGCTTGAACTTTTCTTTCTAAATCAAAACAGCTTACAGAGTCCTTTGTCTAAGATTTCTGCTTGAAATTTTTTGAATTAAATGTTAAGATGCTATTTTTTCCCAATTAGCATTTAGATTATATGTCAATTATGTTGATATTATTATTGCTGCTGCTGCATGAAGGATCATTTTAGAGTTTCTGGTAAATACACAGGTAACGATTCTAACTACTTAGCAACTGAAGAAATCAAGCAAGCGAATGCCTGAAACTTGTTATAACATGACAGATGAAAAGAAAGTTAACATTATCATTGTCACTGGTCAACTAATTTTTATAATACTTGCCTGCATATTTGAATGTTAACCAACTCAAATGGTTTCCAAACTAACAAAATAGGAGTTGAGTGGAAACTCTGAAAACTTGTATTTGCTTATTTGGTTAGGCATTCTTCGCCATCAGAACTTATCTTTACTCAACTCTTTTGTTCAAATCGTGCTTCTTCTGGTCTAAATAGAAAACTTTCCTTTAGCTTTCTCTGTGCCAGTTTAAATTTCTTTTTGATCCCATGCCACTGCCACTGTTGCTTAGTTTGTAAACTGAGCTTTGTAGTTCCATTATGTTTTTAGCTCTGAATCATTGACTTTCTTTGCACTATTATCAACTTCTTTTCTCATGGCTAACTGTCAGCTTTTGAATGACATTGCTCTTCGTGATCGTCTGGTTGAGAAATATGAGCAGGAACTTAGTATGGATATGTATTGGGAAATGCATAAGTAGATATGGAAACATTTGAAAATGTAAATCAGCATTAAGTGAATCTCTTTTGACGGTGAATCCTGATCATCATTCAATGCATGATTAGATTATGAAATTAGCACTGCAGTTAGATGCTAAAGTAAAGTAACATAGTTACCATTGAATGAAACTTCATTTATATGCAGGCAGATTAGTAATCCTGTTGATTCAAAATTTTGTCAAGAACATATTTAGAAGTAGCTCAGTTAAATCTGCATTCTACATAAATAATGTGATGCTGTGCCATAATTTGTTTACTTTTTTGCTAAATATCTAATTTTGCTCTTTTATTTCCCCCTTTTGTATTAAAGGTATCGAGCAATCACGAGTGCATATTATCGAGGGGCTGTTGGGGCTTTACTAGTCTACGATGTCACCCGCAATGTTACATTTGAAAATGTGGGGAGGTGGCTGAAGGAGCTGAGAGAACACACAGATGCCAACATTGTTGTAATGCTTGTAGGGAACAAAGCAGATCTTCGTCATCTAAGGGCAGTTTCAACCGAGGATTCTACAGCTTTTGCTGAGCAAGAGAGCATATTCTTCATGGAAACATCTGCACTTGAATCTATGAACGTAGAAGATGCCTTCACAGAAGTGCTGACACAGATCTATCGTGTCGTGAGCAAGAAAGCGCTTGAAGTTGGGGATGATTCAGCAACTTTACCCAAAGGACAGACCATTAATGTTGGATCGCGTGATGATGTATCAGCTGTGAAGAAAACTGGATGTTGCTCTGCATGAGCTTAGCGTGCAGGAAAAGTTTCTCTGTATTCCGTGCTTTAAGCTCCTTGACTTGTTTATATCCTTTATCCTTGTAGAGATTAGAGATTACTGGCATTTAAAAAAAAAAAAAATCAATGTAGAGATTAGCCTTATAGCATGACGGTGATTCTCTAGGGAGCATTGAGCTTATGATCATTCTGTTTTGTTTGTAGAGACACTAGGTGTGGGGCTCATGTGTTGCTTGGAATCTGAGGTGTGAACTTCATTACTTATGGCTTATAAATAGAACAACTTCCTATAAGATCATATATTATATTCACCAGTTCAATGTTAGACATTTGTTTAGGATACATATTTTGTGTTTTCGGTTTCATTTGTAATTCGTTCCCTGTTTATCTACTATTCATGGTTTTGGATTCTCTCTCGTCACTTCTTGAGTGTTCTAGTGGAATCATTGAATTCTAATTGTCTTCCATTAGTCTCATAGCTTGCCAAGAGTTTCTTTTGAATGTTTAAAATATTATTTGCATGGCCATGATGCTACGAACACCTTCGAAAAACTAAAAGTTGTTTTGATCTTTGAAGGATAGTAGCATTGGGTATGATTGAGGTTGGATGGGAGCTGAAGAAAGGAAAGATTTTAGGACCCATTTGTTTGCCGAAAAGAAATTGATTAAAAAAAAAATACAAAAATCTATTTCATTTTCGTCATTTTTAGCAATCGGACTCTTAGGGAGTGTTTGGTTTTTTTTTTTTTGGGAGGGGCAAAATTTTTCATAACCTAACTAATACGTCTTTTGTGATAAATTCAAAAAATGCATATATACTTTTTCAGTATCCTAACACTAATAAAATGAGAGTAAAATTGTTCATATATAATTATTTTTCTTCTCCTCCCTTGAATCAAACAAGGTAATATCAAACTCTTTCCCTTTCTTTCATTAAAAACTCTCCCTTCCTTTCAAACCAAACACACTCTTTGGCTTTGCCCTTATCCGGCGAACACAGCTTAGTTACGCTGCGTTTGGTCGTGGACACAGGCAAAGGGGGAGGGCAACTTAAGCAAGCATTGTCTGACACAGCACAAGAATGAAGGGCGTACGTCCGGCACTTGACTTGGCTCTTCATATGATTCTAAATATTATAATCAGACCAGAAACGCATGAGATAGAAGGGCTCGGAGGTGTGACTATTTGGCTCCTCTAGGATTGGAATTTTTGGCAAATCTAGAAACATTTTTAAGCCTCCAGGCATTCAAGTAAGGGTTTTGGCTCATTAAGCTATCATTTTACCTTGAATTTTTCAGATTTGAATTGGTTGGGATGTTAGGGTTTTTGATGATTTCGAATTTGAGGATGTCTTTACTGGTTGAAATTAGTTTACATATGTTAATGGAGTTAGATTAGGCTTTTAATCGGTTTAGATTTGTTCAAATAATTGATTTGAAGGATTTGGAGTTAGGGTTTGTATTAATTAGAGGATTAAGTCAACTAAATTGATATTAATTTTCTTACAGATATTTATTTATACCTATAGAGTACTTATTTATAATTTTATGGCTCAATTTTTTTTTTAAATTTTTGAAATCCTTTTTTTGTAATCTTGATCAACTAATGAGCGTCCAATGTATTTTTTTAAAATTTTGGAAGGGATTTTTTTTTTTAATACAAGACCATGGATAATTGTGCAAGGAAAAATGTTCAGGCCATGTAAAAATCATATAATTTCTGTACCAAAAAGGTGGCTTATCAAAAATTGTAGTATCAAGATTATCATTAAAAGTTGGATGGACAAGCCAATCCACTCTTTTCTATGCATGTGCTTGAAAATAACTATTCAATTTCTCATGGTCAAATCTCTGATCTTGTTGATTACATTGTCAAGGGGATGATTCATGGTGAAATTACTCTAAATGAGTGTGAGAACTTAAATAGCGTTTGAGTAAACGTTAACTTTGAAAAAACTACACTTCCAACATAAGTTGATGTCCTTGAGAATGCCTAATGCTTTGTTTGGTTAATAAGAAAATATGGAAAGAAAGAAAACATGGAAAGAAAATAAATTTCCCCCTATTTGGATAAGGAAAGAAAACATGAGAGAAGAAAAAAAGTAAGAAGAAAATAAAATGTGAGACTCACTGTATTTTTTGTTCAACTTTTCTTTTCAAAAGTAGAAAGATTTTGGAAGTAAAATTTTTTTCCACCATCTACCTCCCTCCCTCCCTCTTTCTCTCTTATCTATTTCACACTTTGACCCTCAAAAAATTATTTAATTACATTAATTTAATTTTAATTAAATAATTTGGTTTATAATTTTTAACTTTTATAGTTATGAATTACATTAATTTAACTATTTTATTAAATAATTTAGCTATTAGCTAGTTCAAGTGTCCAGATTTACTTGATAAAGAATATCGTGGTCATGTGAGCAACTCTAAAATTCAAGGGAGAGGTGTTCTTCCTTTTGTTAATTATGTAAGCACTATTTTTTTATAGTTTATGACTCTTCATCAGCTTTGATGAAAATAATTCATTTTATGATTTCTGAATTTTAATACAGAACTACAAAGTTTTCACCTTCATGACAACTATTGTTTTGTTTCATGCTGTAATTTAATGCTACTGATTATCAAATTATGCATGCCCTCTTGAGATTGTACAATGATATTAATGTTCCTCCTCAACACCTATTGTTTAAATTTCCTTCAACGAGGCAAGTGACTGATATTGCAAATCAGATTTGTTAGGATGGCTTTGAGTTAAACTTCATGAGTTATTAAATTTATGGCCTATTTTTTGTTTATTTTCGTTTTAGGGAATAGAGGCAGCAAAGTTGCTTGAATCAGAGGGCATACAAACACATTTGACTTTTGTTTATAATATTTCATTATCAATGTGTTGGAGATTTTGTGTTTATAATTACCATGTTTAATTTTACTAGTACCCACTTTTGATTTTAAAATGTGAAAATGACATATTTTATTAAATTATTTTATTTAAAATATAATATAAAAATATATTTTTAACAAATAATTTGATTTTAAATTAATTTGATTATGTTAATTTTAATATAATTTCTACTTTAAATTTATTTTTGCAATTATAATTACATGAAACATGATATATTTTGATATAAGGGTATTATATTAATTATGATATCTGTTCATTTTCTTTCTCCCCTATTTTCTTTTGTCCATCCAAACAGGAGAAGTGATAATATTTTTTTTCTAGTTTTCTTTTCTCTCCATTTTCTTTCCTCTAAAATTTTCTTCTCATCTAAACGGAGGGTAAAAGTTCAACAGTTGTGCTAGAATAATAGTCAAGGTATTTAGAGAAACCTTTAGGCTAGTTTTCTTGGTCATCACAGATGAGGCCTCCACAATTAGAAGCTCCACTGAAGTTGACTAATCTATCAATATCAAGTCTGATTGGAGGAAAAAATTGCATCACATATAAATTTAGGATACCAATTACTTATGAACGAATGACTCTTTATTTTATTTCAATTTAAGTCAATTTTAATTGTGCCATAATTAAATGGATTCGATTGCTGCATTTCCCAGGAGATTTCCTCTAGTTTGTTATTTGATTTACATATAAAATCTCATCATAAATTAAAAATAAGTTTTTCTCTCAAGAGCTTATAATTTGGGTTGAGTTTGACAAGTTACCTTGAATAAGCTTAAAAGATTTTAGGTTTAAGTTTAGGAAAATTAAATCTTATTACTCTCGGCCCAAAAGAATTGTAGACAAGGTATATAATATAGTTGATATTAATTAAACTCTTAAAATTTAATTCATTTTGTACTAAGAGGCGTATATATAATTGAGTGTATTGTTATAGATAGTTTTTTTTTAAAATAACAAGATTCATGTTATTTTTAATATCTAAAATATCATAAAATAATCTTGAAATTATATTTTAATATCGATTTTAAATTTTAAGACTCTCTTTTTTCTTAAAAAATAGGACATGCAAAATTTTACTTTGGATGAGATGAGACACATGTTTAGCATCGTGGCATCCTATCTTATCATGAATAGGTATTATATATATATAATTCCACTTCAATTGGGTTAAAAAAAAAATAGAGGCATGGAATAGCTTGAGATTTTAAAACATCCCTACCTCTTCAAAATATTGATGTGGTTTTTCACTACCATCCAGGGTTTTAAGATGAGAAGACAAGTTCTAAAGAAAAATAAAAAAAGATTTTTATTAGTAATTAGGATAAAAAATTTGGGTCAAGTCTGATAGGTTAGCTTGAACCTGCCTGATAAAAAAGTAATGATCGAGCTTGATTATATGATTTTTTTTAGGATACTTTAAGTTTAATCCAAATAAGCCTCGTCTCGAATTGAGCCTAGCTATTAGAATTATTGGCTCTATATGTATATAGAATTGGTAATTTTAACAAATCTTGATAGGCGAACTCCAATCCGGTCGAAAAAAATTAGGACCATGCTTGATTATATGAGCTTTTTTAAAAGGCTAGAATACTTAAAACTAGATCCAAATAAGCTCGACTCATTTGAATTACCAACTCTATTAGTAATAGACTATATGAGTTAATAGAAAAGAGGGCGCTTGCCGTTGATTAATGATGATATATAAATCCACTACCTCACAAGACATCAAATTAAAATATTTGGATGGCATCATAAATGATGATGCACGCAGAATGTGGTTGATTTAGTTGGTAAAAAAGCTCATTAATTTGTGAGATGGGATAACATAAATCTTATGTACTACAAGACAAATTGACCATTCCTAAAATGTTTTCACTATGCTTCCAAAATTGACCATGATAATTTTTTATAGAATTTCTTGGTCACATTCCAATCCCAAATATAACTGGGCGACATTCAAGACAAAATGAAACATATGATGAATATTGAATCTTGATCTTTTTTATGTGATGGGACATGAGATATAGTTGTCTTAGCCCCCTATAGTGAACACTCTTACCATTCACAACTTTGTTTATATCAAGTAGATACTATAATTAACTTGGACCTTTAATTTTTTTTTTTAAAGTAACCATAAGAGAGAATTCTTTTTTCGTGAAACCTTAAGAGATAAATTTAATGTGCTTATAACTTTATATGTTGTACTATATATAGATTGGATAATGGTAAAGGACAAGTTTTAATATCATAATAATATAATATTTTTTAACAAAATTTATGATTTAATGATCATACATATATTAAAATATTATACAATATATCAATATTAATTTATATAAAAATCAAGTATATCCCGTGCATTGCATGAGTGTGTATTGCTAATTTTTATCTATAACACGCTAACTCTCATATTTTGCATATTATGATTGTCTTGCATAATAAGGAAATGTGATTGTTCTTTCCCGAGCCTTGAGGAAGATTAAGGAAATACCAGGTCCTTTTTATTTTTATTTTTTGACCAAATTATGTCAAATTATAATTCAAATTATTTTATTCACTCTAGATTGGAAAATTAAGGCCCCTATAACAAGCTACCTTTCTTTTTGAACTTGGTGATATATATTTTCCAATCTAGAGTGAATGTAGTTTGACCCACCACAATTTGTTGAGATGATAGAGTACTAAAGAAGGATTGAAGCTTAATTGGAATTAAGGTTATAGGAAAATTAAGAGTATTTTCTGATTCAATGGAGGCTGTCTTTTAACATACTCTAATCTACGAGATAAAAATCATCCTACTTTTGAAATTGCAAAGAATAGTATGAGTTTACTTATGAGAAATTAGGTTTCTTGTGAGCATGCTTTTAGAAAAGTTGACGCTTACACTGATTGGCTCGCTCAGCATGCTCACGATGTGAATATTGAACTAACTAATAATCTTCCCGAATTACTCATGACATACACTGTGATATCAAGGATTTGAATATGTACAGATTTTACACAGTTTTATTACAAAATTACGTAACAAACATCCTCATTGATAGACATCCATAAATACAAGAACAAAATTCAGAAACCCAGAAAGCAGAAGTATTATGAGATGAGACTCAAACAAAAACTTCCAGATGGTATTGTGATCAAAGTAAGGCTTCAGGGCACTGCTAACTAGAAGCAGTTCTTGTGTTAGATGGCACCTGAAATTTGACATGTTTCAGAGACTATATGGAAAATTAATTATCAACAAACAATTTTGTTGAGCATCAATGCAGCAATTTAATCTTACAGAAACAATGGAAATAACATGAGAAAATAAATTATTTTGCAGTTCAATCCACACAGAATCAAATTTTAATTTAATCGTGACTGAGCTGTTGGTTCACATGACCATCCCTAGTTTCAGATGAGCCTCCTTTATAAACAAATTTTTAATTAAATCAATATATTTCAGGTTTCTAAGTTAAAAGACTAAATTCAATTCAAAAGTAAAACTCAGAAACAAAGTAACGATGGAGTCCATTAGGTTTTACTAAAATTACAAGGCAGAAAATTAAGTAGAAAAGCTTCATAAGACAGGAACACAAGCTCTTCACTTGATTTATTTATTCCAATCAGTAATATTGCTCATCGTGGATAGATGAGTAACTATCATTTCCAAGGAGGCAGTAAATAGAAAGGTAAAACCCAATTTTGCAGTTATAATGACAGAACAAAAGAGTTTGCTACATTGAAAACAGGAATGTTTGAGAACCTTGAAAATTTCCCACTTAAATGTGAAAAGTGGAATGAAATTATGCATTAATTCTAACACATATCCTTAAAGTGGAGATTCTAAAATCAATCATCACCCCAGATAAAGTGTCAATGCCAACATAACTCATCTTTCTACTGTATGCACATATTGCCTTGAAATTATTTGGGCTATCTTAGGAGTGCCCATAAACAATGTCGTAAAACCTTCAAAATGCATAAAGCAATTGATTTGGACCTCGTAGCATGGGATGTGATATGCACTAATTCAACCAAAAACAGAGGAAATTGAGAACACCTTACAGAATGTGATATAATTTCACTGAGGCATATATGCAACCAACCCAAATAGTAGTTAAAGAAAGCTTCTGATGGCCACAGCAATGCCAAACCACATGTTCAGTGCAATGAAAGCAGAGAAGGCTTTAAACTGAACATCCAAGCCTAGTATTTCTTAGCAGAAATATATTGGATCAATTTTGAGCACAAAAATTTCACAACATAAACAAGGAACCACCTCAAGGATTGTAAATGGCTACTAGTCCTCTTATGCTGGACATTAATATGTGGGTGCTCACAGAACTTTTAACTTGAGACTAGCCAGGGGCTACCTAACCACTTTCTACATGAAGATATGGTGTGCCTATTAATCATGATAGTGACTTAATTCCACTCACCCTTAAAAATTTTGTAACAGTATCATGTTAATAATCTATATAGTGAAAAATATTTATAAAGGAATATGATATCATGTCTCAAAGGACTCATCCACATGAACATCGAGAAGTGATAAATCGAAACTAATTCAAGCCTGGAGACACATATCAATGGCCTGATGGTAAATGATTAAGCAATTGGAAGCAGAATTGACCCCTTACAATTAAATTTATTCTGTTGTTATCATTATCATCATCTATATCCTTTTGATTATAAAGCAACCAATTTCATAATGTGGCTTATTCATTCAGAACAACTCACTCGTGCGGTAAAATATTTCAGTTATTGTAATCGACTCACTGAAGCAATATGACAAGAATTCCAAACAAAATTATGTTTCAAGATAATTAGACAAATTCTTCCAAAAGGCCTTATAACTGAATGGCTACAACAAACTGATATCCTGCTCGATATTGGAAAACTCAATTCAAGTTCCATAACTCCAAATGCGAATTGCTAACAATTGCAGAAGCATCATCATCAACAACAACAACAAGCCTCATCTCACTAGGTGAGGCCGGCTATATGAATTATACGATGCTCTACCATTTATTAAATTTTTAAAAATATTATTAATTAAAAGGTCGATTGCAGAAGCGTCAATTCAAAATAAAAAAATTTAATAGAGGAAACAGAGGAAATCAAAGACCGCATTCATGTAAACCCCAATCTAACAAATAATCGCAGAATCGAAATAAAACCTCCAAACACCTAAATCAAAAACATTAAACAAAGCACCAAACTAAGGAAACTCACCATCTTTTCATTACTGGCGAGGTTTCTCCGAATCAGAGGAAGATGGAGGCGAAGATTCCTCAGTGTGGAAAGAGGGCAAGGGATTCCCGCCTTTGATGACCCAACCAAGGGCAAAGAAGGCAACCCCAGCTAGAATCGCAGTGCCCCAAGCATGAGAGTACCATCTACTGTATTGTTTGATGGCATACCTCCATTGCTCTCTGAGAGTAGCAGCGTCCGGATTCACTGCGTCAGGTGGGTTCGGATAATGAACCTTGTGGCCTGAAAATTGGTTCGAGCTGTGATTGTGGGAATGGCCACTTCTGATTTCAGAGGGCACTCCACTTGAGGAAGACGAAGGAGGAGGAGTAGGAGCAGAGGAATGGCTTTTGGGATCAGCGTCAGACATGGTGGTGAATGGGAATCTAGTTACGGGTTTGATACTGATCAGTGTCCTCCCTGCAAGGTCTAGCGAACATGGGAAATCATCTTCCACGTTTCAGAAATGACAGCCAACTCCTCTTTGATCTTTGTGCCTCCAAGCAAACCCTCGATCGAGCTAGGCAAAATAGATTCTTATGGATTGCGGGGGAATACTCCGTTCAGATAAACATGAAGAGGCACAGAGGCCTGTTTGGATAACCTGAACTGAAAACATACCCTATTATTAAATTGATTTGGGCATTGATTTAAGAATTAATAATTAAAAAAATAAATATAATTTTTAATTTATATACTTTACTCACATTTTATTTTTTATTTTTATATTTTTTTAATATTTTATATTTTTATATTTTATTATTTTTAATTATTCTATGAGTAAAGTATAAAGACTTTGGAAGGATTTAAAATAATAAAAAATAAAAAGTAAATATAACTTTTGATCTTTTGTACTTTATTCATATTTTATTTTTAGTTTTTATATTTTTTTCAGTATCTATGCACTTTTATTTTTCATTATTTTGGGTCTTTTCAAGGTCTATATATTTTGATCATAGAGGAACTAAAAATAATGAAAAATAAAAATATAGGGATTTAAAATATTAAAAAAATAAAATATATAGGGACTAAAATTAAAATGCAAATAAAATATATGAACTAAAAGTTATGCTTACATAAAAATAAAAATGTAGAAATCTAAAATATAGAAAAAAATATAAAAACTAAAAGCAAAACGTGAGTAAAGTATAAGAATCAAAACTTATATTTATTCTAATTAAAATTATAATTAAACTGTCATTATATGGATTATAAATAAAAGATTTTATTAAATTGATTAAAGTATTACGTTAATAATGTATTAGTTCAACCGAACTGATTCAAGGCAAAGCAAGATGCTTGTCTCCATACTTCTCATTGCTTCCTTTGAAATTTTTTAAAATTTTCTTTGATAAAATTGGTTCCAGCCATCCCATGCTTTATGCTTACTTGACATTTTGCCCCATCATGTATACCATGCTGGATCTATCCTTGAACCCAACAGATTGACCCAATAACCATTTTATGATTCTAAAGCTCAGAATTATAGTTTTATAAAAATACATTCAAATACTCATATTATGTATTAAAATTAAATATAAATTTAAAATTATGTTTTTTTAAATGTCAAAACATCCGTTACAAAAGTCAAAATTAATTAATAAACTCAAAATTATAATTTTTTTTAAAAAATCCAAACACTTCAATATATGTTAAAATTAATTATGAACCTAAAAACATAAGTTGTAAAATAATTTATATGATTTCAGATAAATTTTTAGAAAAATATGATTGAAAAGTAGACTTAAAATATAAGTAATAGTAGCTCATGAGATAATTATAATTTTATGTTCATAATTAATTTTGGCATGTATATAAGTGTTTAGATATTTTTAAAAAAATTATGATTTTTTTCACAATTAATTTTGACTTGTATAATTAATGTTTGGACTTTTTAAAAAAAAAACTATGCTTTTGAGTTTATAATTCATTTTGACATGTTATAAGGGTTTGGATATATTTTCATAAAATAATAGTTTTACCAAATTTTTAATTCTGCTTTCCTATTTTACTTTTCAATCATGCTTAAAATCAATCTTATTAATTAATTATATCACATAACATAATTAATTATATTAAAAATTAATGATATTAATTTTTTTTATCATGGATATTTTAAAGAGCCCTATGCATGTACACACACACACGTGTATATACATAAAAGTCAATTTTAACAAAGTGATGGTTAAATTATGATAAATTTTTTAATTTATGCTCATTAAAATGTATCACCTTATTAAATTTTTCAAGTTTTTAGTGCAAACCAGAGATTTACCTTGATCTTATTAAGCCTAACTAGGATTTACTATAACCTTTCAAAATCTATTCCAACTGTCATGCTCTACTAAAACTTATTAAAGTCAGGCCATAGAAGTGTTCCATTTACACCCGTTTTGATGGGCTGATTATATCTTGGTCAAATCAATATTGGTACTTGATTAATCTCTAGGTGAATTTCTCTCAAGGTAAAGAGTGTGTTTGGTTGGAAAGAGGGGAGATTAGAGATTTTAATAATACATTGTTTTTTTTTTTGAGGGAGGGATCTTTAATAATTCCTTGTTTCGTTTAAAAGGAGAGGAGAAGAAAGACAATAATTAATTTATACTATTATATCCTTATAAATTAGTTTATTTTTTAAAATTATTCCTTATTATAATTAAATTGCAATTTTAAATGGTGTGTTATATTATTTTTTAGAAAGATTATTATAATTGTTATATTAATTATTATTCTATATCGACATTGATTAGGAACTGTTGATGTTTTTATTTAATTTTAGAGGAAAGTATGGCGAGGCTGAGAGCAGTTCGACAGTTCTAAAAGCAAAAGAAAAAGTTGTTCATGGCGAAGGAAGGCTTTGGGTAGGATATAAGAACTACAATTAGATAAAAAAAAAAAGAATATGTGAAGTACAGATTCAGTTTGCTTAAAAATTAAAACTACGGATTCAGACACAAGGTCACACACGTGGATGCTGCAAGCTGTGTGAACCAGTGAGGAGACGAGTTCTGCGGAGGAGCTTGACTCAAGGAAGGTTCCCCACCCCCGAATTCTCATAAATGGGCATTCATGGAATATCATTAAAAATTGAGGGCAAGCTAGTCAGAAATTTTAACTCCCTTCCAAAAAAATCCTAATTTTGAGTGGAGCAAGGGAGGGAAAATTTTGGCTCTCATTTCTTTCAAAATTTTTTAACCAAATGAGAGGTGGTGCTCCCTTTCTTCCCCTTCAATACCCTCAAACCAAACACACCTTAAGGATGTATTAAGCTATAGAATAACTTGCCTCTAATCAATCTTGTAATTGCAAAAAATATTCTCCAAAACCAAATTTAGATGCTACTATTATTCTACTAGGTCTTGCTTAATCCTAATGATGAACATGTAGCCTGAGTGCTTGAGAAACTAGGCTTGGCTCGAGGGGTTTTTGCCCTACTTAAAAGAAAAGGAAAGTTGCTTGATTTTTTAGGCATGGTCGATTTGGCCTAAAGGTCGGGTTGGGTAGAGCTAGCTAGGGCTAGCTTGTCTAATCATTTTGTATTTTTTTTAATTTTTTTATATGAAATGATGTTGTTTTAGCTCTAAGGGATGGAATGAAGTTAAACTTAAGAAAGAGTCTGAAAAGGGAAGGGAACCCTAAAAGCCGCACATCACACTTGCTCTTTGTCTTCTGACTTTAGTCAATCACTTACTCCTTCTTTGCCTCTTCAGTATTGAGAAGTTGAGATTGAGAATTCATTAAAGATTTCAAGTTCAACTCTTCATCTTCGTCTCTTTGATTTCATGGGTGACTAAGGGTGGCTGCTTATCCAGGAAACTAAATTCACGTTTGCTATTTGTGACTTCATGGTTACTCAAGCTTGTCGGTGTCATTGCTGCTCTCAACACTTAAGGTCTGTTTGGTTTAAAGTGAGGGGAGGGATTTTAATAAAGGAGAGGGGAGGGGAGGATACCTTATTTGGTTCAAGAGGAGCGAGGAGGGAAAATAAATACATACAGATAACTTTACACTTATATAAGTAAAATTGTTTTTTCCTAATAAAATATAGTTATGAATATTTTTAATATATAATTACAAGTATATAATTATCCATATTTCACACACACACACACACACACACACACACACACACACACACTTCCGCTGGACCACAATGTAAGTCATAGTTAGCTAATTCACGATATATGAACAATATTAGTTAAAACCTTAAATTCTTAAAATTGTCTATCTTTTCATTTATATCCACATTAAATTCCTTATATAATTGGAGAGGCCGACCTCAATGATCGGGATTTGAAGCTTCTTAAGGTTAGCCAATTACTACTGGAGATTTATTAAGGGGTTTTCTCAAATAACCTCTACTTTGACAAAATTGACAAAGAAGGATCAACCGTTTGTATGGACATCTTGTTGAAAATTGTGTCCTAGAGCCAATCATTATATTATGCACATTGTTATTTAATAAATTTTTTTTGTTATCATATCAATTGCATATTCACTATGATAAATATATCTTTGGACAAACTATAGTGATTGTCTTAAATATCCCTGGTTGATCATCTATGAGGGATAATAGATGAAATAAGACTAGTATGACTTTAATTAATTATAGAGATATAAATCAAAGTTATAGGCACTTAAAAGTGTACAACGTGCTGGACCGACCCGCTATGAGAAAGGTGCATGGTACAAGTCATAAGATTATCTCATATATAACCATATTACTAAGCCCTTTGACCTAAAATCATCATGGATTCCTACATAATGATCATAGAACTTTGACATAGTTAAAAGTCATCTTTGATCGGATGATCATAAAGGCTATGATTGAGTTTTATGATATTCATGTAGAGAAATATGAGTGGTTAAGATAAAATTCATCCATTATGTTAATTGAGATATATTATGGGCCCCTTGATGAGTAAGACTGAGAAAATATATGGTCATACTACAGTGAAAATGGTTTTTCCATTGTTATATCAGTTTAGAGATTGAGAAAGTAATGATCATGTAAAGGAGAATGACAACTTTACGTCTCACACTTGACTAAAATATCATGTGATAAAAGAGATATAATACGATTATATGATAAGTTGTATTAGATCATTGATCTTTAGATGAATTGAGTAGTCGCAATGTCTTGTTAGAGGCTACTTGTGACTTATGAGCTAATAACGTAATTAGCCTATTACTAACTTCATATGATTCTATATGGTCGCACACAAGAATAGCCCAACTCGAGCTATAATGTTCAAGTTCATTGAATCTAGAATATGTCTAGATTCAATCAATGTAATATAGAGTGAACAAATTTTATATGAATATATATTTGAATATTTTTTTGATAAATATTTATATATATATATATTTATATGAAATATAAAATATAAAATATAATTATATATATTTTCAAAATATCTATGTATATTCATATATATATGTGTGTGTATGTATGATATATATATATATATATATATGCACATGATATATAAAATTCAAAATATAATATATGATATACTCTCTCCGTTCAAAAATGTAAGGTATTATCATATTCCCTAATAAAGTAGTTACCTACTTTC